TCTTTGTTATTTATTTCTTTGTCTTAGTATTTGAAACATTTTTATGCAAAAACTTATATGTTTTGACGTTCGAAAAATAGATAAAGATATATACTCGTATAATATATAAAGATGTATATTAAAAATGTGATAGTGAGTTTGTTTGTTACGCTTTCACGCCTAAACCACTAAACCTATTTTAAAAATTCTTTCACTAATGGAAAGCTACATTATCAGTTAGTAATATAGGCAACTTTTCACAATCTCATAAAAAGAAGATTAAATTATAAATTAATCACAGTTCTTCTCTCTCTTCTCACCTTCTTAGAACCACTTATTAATGTCCGATTGGGCTTAAATTTCATGTATATTTAGTGACAGCTCTTCTGATGATGGATCAGGAAGATGACCATAGGAACTTCTGAACTAAATACGATTAGCCCATCGAGCTTGGGCTCGATTGATTATGATTGAACATTAAATCTACACTAAAATAAAACTTGCTTTGTAATAAAAGCATGTTTAAAAACTTTTTTGACAAGTTTAAAAAATTAGAACAGGATGGAGGTAGCAGTCGCCATTATAATCAGTAGGTTAGATTCGAACGTTTGTTTGACTTACCATCATATATTTTCAGATAGAAGAAGTTATCTTAATATTATAGACGCAGTGTGACACACCGTGTGTGTCCGTCAAATTCCTAGACACCCTCCAGCTAAAAAATTTTTTGGGGACACATGTCGAGGAGGTGTCTACACTTGTAGGTGTCCAAAAAGGTCATTTAGTAATTTGCTTAACATTATGTAGATTGGAAGACAGTAAACCTTTGTCTCTGATAATTTTGCATCAATTAAATACTTTTAAAATGAAATTAATAAAAAAAAAACAGTAACAGTGACAACTTAACCGTTACCGACACCTCTGTATTGTGTCGGTAACGGTAACGGCAACAGTGTCGCGAGTTTAATTGTTTTTTATCATCTCAAAAATGTTAAACGCGCCTAAAGAAGTTTCAATTTCAACAGAGGTGTCGGTAACGGTAACAGTGTCGCGAGGTCTATGGTTTTTTCCAATCTCAAAAAATGAGTTATTTATTAAAACATAAAATACATTCTCTTGTTTGTTGTTCAAAAATGTCCAAGGCGCCTAAAAACCTTTCCACAACAAAAAATATTATGAGAACAAGACTAGAGCTACAAAAAACCTTAATAAACTGCCGTCGACCTTTAGTACGTACCTAACAAAATTACATAATCCCTTTGACCATATTCATTTCGAAACCAAATTTATGCTAACCAACGTTTGAAATATCAAAGCCGGCGGATACACCGCCCGCCGGTTGCCCGAGCGACCCAGACGAATAGCACTCTCAACTCTAAGGTACGAGTACCTATTCGAATCCATGTTTATTACTATTAATCACACAACAAGGTTTTGTAGGCTAGCTACTTTTTGTAGCCTAATTATTATATATAAAAGAGTTTTCTCTTTAAGGTATATCGGGGTGCACGAGCAGACGGGTCACCTGATGGTAAGTGAGTATCGCCGTTCATGGACATGCAACTCAAGAGTCACAACTGAATTACCACCCATTGAGCGCCCCCCCCCGAATCATGAGAAAGAGATGTTTAGGCCCTGGCAACCCCACTTTCTCGGTAAAAGGCAACGAAGGAGATCACCGGTTTCCTTTGAAGTCGTGGTATCAGCCTGGTCGAGCCTGCCTATTTATTCAGAATCACGGTAAAAAGTGTTATCTAGATACAAGAAAGAAACAACAAGAAACGGCGTGAGGGGTCTATGTACTCCGACGGAAAGAAGTTAATTTCGCTTTTTGGTAGATGTTTGCTATACATATGAAATATAAAAAAGATGTGAGCGCCAACTGAAGTGTCGGCAAAAAGTCTCTTTACATATTTTTGGGTCTTGCTCCCATCCATCCCATCAGAGCATGTAACACGCGGTAAGGAACTTCGTTCCAATATATTTAGTTACTAGAATTGTTTGAATGTAGAAGCAAACAGCTGTGTGATCACGTTCACGTAAGATAAAGTGGTCTTATACTTATAGTCGTAGATCAGGCTTAGCTCGAAGAGAAACGGAATAGTGTCATGACATAAATTTCTCAGAATTTAATTGCTTTTTAGGGATCCGTACCTCAAAAGGTAAAAAGGAACCCTTATAAGATCACTTTCTTGTCCGTCTGTCCGTCAGTCCGTGTGTCACCACCGATTTTTTCAGGAACTGGTAGACCAAGCAAATTGAAATTTATTCCAGATACTGAGGTCTATAGTATCTATTAGGTGTATAAAAATCAAGGTCCTGAGTCAACACGATAAAAAGATATTGGCAAATTTCGATTTTCACGAAAACTCAAATAAAAAAAGTTGAAAATTAAGGTGAATTTTGGTACTTACAGTACCAAAATTCACCTTAATTTTCTCTTTACTTGTTCTGTAAGACCTTGCTTTTAACCAAAATTGTCAATTCTAGATCAACCGGAAGTACCCTGTAGGTTTTGGGTCGAAAACCAATTTGGTAGTTCCCGTTGACCTAGAATCACGAAATTTGGCAATAAGAAACGTCTTACAGCACAAATAAATAAATAATTCCAAAAAATAAAAAACCTTGAAAATTAAGATAAATCTGGGTAGGTACGGAACCTTCGGCGCATGAGTTCGACTCGTGCTTGACCGGCTTTTTTTGTTCAAAGTAATGTAAATAGTAATATAAAATTTATAAGCCTACATGAATCCATATTGCAAAACTTTTTAAATGTAACGCAAACACATCTAAATGGTCCAGAAGCTGAAAAATATTTTGAATAGATATATTTTTTGATTTTTGCCACGTGAACAATAACGGTTATAAATAAGTGATGAAGAATACGTGTTTTTTTGAGATTCTTAAGATCGTTATTTTTCCAAATAATATAATGCATTGCAATGCAATTTATTACGAAGCTATCTCGGTAAGGTATTGGCTAGTCCCAATAGCTAGCTAAGGATTTATCTCATATGACACATCTGTTAATTTTTCGAATGTATATTCCTTGTTACGATTTGGAGAAATCTACTATAAGTGGGTATATGTTAATCACTTATACTCAAGAAGTCGATTAATTGGCTACAAAAAGTTACTAGTCTACAAAGTCCTTGTATACAAAAACCAGTTTCATTTTACTTTAAAAATGAAATAAGGTTTACGATTTCGATTGTAAATTTGCCTAAATTTACCTAAACAGTTTGTCTGGTATTGAATAGAGACAAATAGAATTTTCGAATGTGTTTGATGACTACAAATGAGCTAGCTGCTTAGTGCACCGAATTGATAATTATTTTCAAATACAATACATTCTGCAAATGAGTTTCCGCATGCGAGGTCAGAATAATATTCAATGATCTAGAAATTTCCATTCGTACCGGATTAGTTTTCGCTAAGGTCTCACACAACTAAATTAATTATAGGAATTCATTGTATAGTTTGTTTACAATAACAAATCAATTTCGTTCGTTATAACCTATTTTAAGAATTATGACGAAACAAATTAAAAAAAAACAAAATTTCTTTCTTTTTGGAAAGAAATTAAAATTTACTTCGTCATCAGACATTATTGATGCGGTTTTTCCGGACCGATACGACCTCAAACCTTCAAGAAAAGAGCATACTCCTTCCTCAAAGTCCGGCAACGCGCTTGTGACTCCTGAGTTGCAATAGTTCATGGGCGGTGGTAGTCACTTTCCATCAGGTGACCCGTCTGTTCATTTGCCCCCTATTCCATAAAAAAAAATGTCCGACATTTAAAATTTTGAATACTGATCTAAGATATGAAAAAGCAACATACAGGATAATTTCAGCAATATTCGCAAAATAAAAATAAATGGAACAATTTCAGCTTTTCTCATATTACTTTACTATATTTACTGTTTCTTGGGAGAATTTTATTACGAAGTGTACTTGTAATAAAAGGCTCTTGCCTTTGGTTTAATATAACGAAAAAGTAATATACTTATCAAGTTTTATCATAGATAGTCACGGCTGCTGCTCAAGGCAAAAAAAGCATGTCAGTCTACGAGTACTATGCGAAATGAAATACAGCCAAATGCATCTATAACTATACTATGCAAGGTAGGGTTATTTATTTAAAGCCGGGGGCCGCCAGAAAGTGGGACACTTTGGTGGATGAGGAATCAGGAATAGAATGGCGGTATTATCGCAAAAAAATGAGGCGCGGCGTTGATCCATGGGCTGACATCACGTGGTCAGGTTCCCCCCAGAGAAGGCAGCCAGAGGCTGGCCGTTGGGGTTCTTTTCAGAGTAAACACTAAACTGCTACTGCTGTCTCTTGTGTCCCCAAGGAGCCGGAGATCCGAAGGGGTTTTCCACCCCGTCACAAAAAAAAAGGTTGCTTATTTAACGTTAATCAGGGAACATTTTATCTAGATGACGACACGATTTACGCTTGTGTACTAACATAAGTTTGTTGTTGTCTCAAAAATTGTCTGATTTTAGATTAACTCCAGAACTGTGACGTGTTTGGCAAAATTCGTCCATGCAATCTGTGACAGATGTTGTCTGACTCTTAGAATAAATCACGTAACATTTAAATTATCCAGTGTTTTATTGTGGTAAAGTAACATTATCTTCTAATCACACACCACACATTTGGTAATCTTCGCCAGAATAAGATCATTTTTCTCAAAAGTAGGTGAAGCATCTCTCTTATTGCGGGAGTTAATAATATTTTCATTTTACGGGTTATATTTTTTTATTTTACTAACAAAAATAATAATATAACAAATAGCAACACATACATTTCGGGACTTAACATAAGTATACTTAAACACAGAACACTAAAACTTGATTCAGACAAGAGTAATCACATAATTAAGCAGACTCGTACGTAGTGCATTGATACTCATTAATAATACTGATCAAGGTTGACATTACCAACATAATGTGCATAACGTGCAAAAACAAACGAACAATTTCTATTACTCAGCTTCTATTATGTTGGTATCACTTCAACCTACTTTTACCCAGGCTTTTACGAAACCTTCACAAGCTCTCGTTCCATTAATAGGACCAGATTCGCCAAACTCCACTAAGGCGTCTTCTATATCATTCATCAATGGTTCTGAAGGCACCCTTGAGAATACTACTACGTCGCCAGTGTTACAATCCCTCATGAGCAAAAGGTTTTTCACTACCAGCCACTGATCAGGGCTCTCCTCATGTAGAACAGATGTTGTGTTACCTATAGAAAACAAAGATAAAAGGCCTTTTAAAGCAATAAATGGAGTCTGTCATTACCTTTACATTCTGGGAGGCAAACGCCATATAGTTATCATTTTTAAGACTAAAACAATTTAGGAAATATGGCTGCTATATTGTTAAATGTCTTTTCTTGCGTCGTCACTAAGCTCACAGTCTTGGCGGTGCTACCGTCTATAGACACATGTTGTTGAAGATACACAGTAGTGTCACAGCCCTTTAAGTGCTCTGTTCCCCAGAATTCTTGGCGTTTTTGTTGAGTTCTGGTGATCTCACCTGTTCGGAAAAAAGCGACAAAAGAAATGCTTAACAGCAGTTTTCTGTGAGACTGAAACTCTTGCGTTGAATTCAAATGATTATTTTGACATTACCGATAGGGTTATTATTTCTATATAAAGAAGAGATAACTGTGCGATTCTATGACATTATTGGATCAGGTTGTGATTTTGTCTCAAAAGTATTCTGTCCAACTAGAATCCCAAAAAGAAGGGATTAGATGGATGATAAGGACTCTATACTGATGTGTGCTATACATACGTTCATATCATTATCTCTAAAGGGGTAGAAATAGGCAAATTAAACGCCCACACTTTGCCGACGGTGGTAAAATTACTTCTTCTTTTTATTGATTCGTGTTTTTTATTTTAAACGGTTTTGGCTCAGTGCTCGGGGACGCGAATGGTAATGGATGAATGAAAGTACCAATAAGGGGGTCAATCGGGTAAATTAATTTCTCAATAAATATGAGAATCGCTAACCACTAGGCCAACAGGCAGTGTCGTGCTGTATATTAATATCACCCATCCTAACGAAAAAAAGATATAAATACGAAAGAAAGAAACTGACGGTTATTTCTAATTTCAAATTCTTACCGTTACGTTCCTGATCTATAATAATATTTTCCATTACACCATTTTGTAAATCATTTGTCTGGAGAAAATGTCGTCTTTGTACATCAAAACGCTTGTTTTCACTCGAAGTTATTTCTAAGATGCAGTTCCTCCACTTAACTTTATCATCAAAGTCACCATATGTAGCCTCATATCGCTTCTGGTCCTGTAAAAAAATCTGTTAGATATAATAAAGGTCAACGATGTGTGTAGTGACAACTTGAGTGGTAGTTGTGGCGATAACTACATACCCTGAAGCAAAATCATACAACAGCGCCATCTATCGAATACTCACCAAACTGCGGAGTAACTGCTAATCCTGTATCGCGATGTGAGTAATTTGCAAGCCAATTAGCATGTATACAATTTCCATACATCAACCGTTGGGCCGTGTCCCACCAGGCTTGTTAACCTCGCCTGATAGGAAGATTCTCCCTTTGTTTTGGAGGGACATCACAGACGTTCTTCCACAATAGTCAACTGGTGTAAAGCAATTCTGATATCTGATATCTCCTCCCCCGAATTATGGAGCATTGTGACTCAGTGGTAATGCATTTTTGAGTTGCAGGCGGTAGTCATTTACCTGATGGTAAGTGACTACCGCCTACCTAAATATAAATAGTTTGCTGCCTAAAATATATAAACAAACTTACTTACCTCAAAGCTGACTTTTTTTATGTGAAGCCTGAAACACTTAAGTGTTGTAGGAATTGTATAAAACGTGATCTTCCACACATCAGCTATCTTATTCACATCATATCGTTTCGTTTTCTTGAATTTAAGGCACTCTCCGATCTGATCCTCCTTGACTAAGTCCTGTTTGACAGTTGTTTTTTCACTCACTACGGTATTAATATTTGTCTCCAAAGTATCAACGCTTATATTATTTATATAATTCATAATCATAAAATTTTCAATGTAAGAAGAGGATATATTATTTATAGGCGTAGTCGTTCTTAAGACTGAATTTACACTTTTCGCGGGTATTGTCATATCATTTATTTCTATACTCGTAATATTTTCTTCTTTATCTATATTATTTATTTCTGTAGATGTCACATTAATCATAATAAATGTTGTACTTGAATTTCTTTTTGCGTCTATATCTGTTGGTTCCGGGTCAATTAAAAACTCTAGTGATCCATACTCTTCGAGGTGGAGTTGCCTTTTTTCCTTGATGTCTCCAGTTTCTCCTTTTAGGCGGCTGGACGGAACGGTATAATTACTATTAGTACATATACAACAGAATGAGTATTGCACAATCACGATGAAATATAGGTTAGTTATAGAATAGAGCCACATTTTTCGTAGCTGTCAGCAACCTCTTCTTTAGAGTGATAATTGAGAAATGATTAATGGCTAACGTGTAATTCATTTAAATATATGTTCTGTTTGTTATGAAAACTATACTAGATTTAAATATTATCGTGTTTGCGTTTTGTTGGAAAGAAAAGGTCTTTATAGTAAACATCTCTATTGTTTTATACAACTGTTACTATTGCTTACGGTATTGTTATCGGAGTGAGATCTTGGTTGTGTCATCTGTCGTTATTTGGGCTATTTATTATTGTTCTATCAATTTGCGAGCTACGTAACCTAATTATTTTCGTTCAGTATGCCGACAAAATGTAAAAGACATAGATTTTTTTGCAATTGTTTATTTTATTATATTCTTTAACGCGGTAAAAATTTAAGTAATTTTTACTTCAACGGTTCATTTAGGAAGTGATATAAAACAGAAGGCAAGTTTATTAATTTGAAAAATAGCATACCTTCTTAACAATGAACAGCACTTTTTAATAAACAGATATAATATTGACTGCAACTGACGAGCTCACGCTCACTAGAACATTGTCTTCTATTTGTGGAATAAATATGCAGTAATAGTTTTATAATACAGAACAAATTCTGTCTAATACCGACCGTCTAAAAGACCTGGCGATCACTGTTTGTTGATACAGTTATGGTGTAACAGTAACAGTACAATAGTTTTTGCAAACATGTCTTTCTTTTTGAAAAATGCTTTAATGGAAGTCTACCCTTTTTTTTCCCGTGCGGAAATCCCCTCGGATACCACCTATCGGTGGCATGTAGGACTAGAACCGACTAAAACCGCACGCCGACTCGGGTACTAATAGCCGGGGAATCCTAGAAAGGAAGTTCCTGGTGCCCCGACATACCTCGGGCCATCTACAACAAGTAGACGACCCTCCCCGTGTGGGAACCCCATGTTCCCTCTGCTCCCTGGAAGCGAGCGCGCTTCCGTTCCCGGGCTTGGCGGGCCGGGAGAGTTCTAAACCTCTCCCGGTCCCGCTCCGCCGTCTCCTTCGCGAGCATAACTTGCTCGCAGAAGGAGACGGCTGAGTTCCACGCACTCTCGATAGCCACAATCAGGCTATCGAGCGAGAGAACTCCCACTCCGATGGCCGCCACGAGGTCTCGCCTCTGCTCAACCCACGCCGGGCACTCTGCCAGCGTGTGGAGAGCCGTGTCCACGGTCTGGCCATCGTAGTGGTGGCACTCAGGCGTTGGCTCCTTGCGGATCAGACACAGGTGATCCCCGAAACATCCTTTCCCAGTGATCACCTGCGTCAGTCGGTATGAGAGGGTCCCGTGACGCCTCTCGAGCCAATCCTCCATAACGGGTCTTACCGCCGCGATGATGGCGTGCCCAGCGCTCGGTTGCCCGAGTCGTTCCCTCCACTCTCCTATGATGACCTGGCGGAGTTGGGATTTCCGGTCATCGATTTCTCGAATCTCGGAACACCGAACCAACTCCCGCGCCTCCTTGCGCCACTGATACAGAGCCGCAAGGGCTCTCGCCTCCAGGTCCCACGGTGGAGTTCCGGCCAGGAGACTCGCCGCCTCAAAGGTGATCGTGCGGTACCCCCTTATGATCCTGATGGCCAGCACTCGCTGCGGTCGTCGCAGTATCGCGACGTTGCTGGCCTTCAGGGCCCCCGCCCATACTGGGCACCCGTAAAGGGCCATGGACCGCACAACCCCCGAGTACAGTCTCCTGCAGGAGTCATCGGGTCCCTTCATGTTGGGCAGCAGCCGCGCCAACGCACGCGCTGCACCTCGGCAATGATATCCGAAGTCCCATCGGCAATGGAAATCTACCCTAGAGACAATTAGACACAGACAGACATTTTGAACAAATTTTAGGATTCATTTTAATGATTTCAATTTTTTTATAAAAACACTTAAAATAATCCATCAACATATCTTGCGTTACATACCCTTGCTTTTATCCATGTCAGCTTTCTCATACAATGTATTATTTTTATCAATTTTTAATTCATTTAATTTAACTTCAAAATAAGATTTTTGAATTAAAAATCACGAAATTGTTGAACATGATACTTCTATATTTCAAATGCAGAAAAGGAGATTCAGATACAAAGGCAACCCACACGATGTTGGCAGAACTTAAACTAAGTTTCTTGTCTAACTTTATAAGAGAGTGGTGCAGTACTTATTAGATTGTAGTATAGGAGATCCTACATATAATATGTTATGTATATGTATAAGGTATTTCATAATATAACCGTTAAATATTACACGTATTTAAAATTCACATTCTAATATATTAGTAGGCAGTTACCTATATCTATGGTTAATTAGTTTCACAATAATTTAACTCTCGCAATTTTTTCTTTTTTTATCTCTCGCATAATCGGTAAAAAATCAATGTACCTAAACGTTTATGTGAATGTATTTGACTCTAAGAGAGGCCTATGTCCAGCTGTGGACTCTTAAAGGCTGTTGATGATATGCTTCCGCTATGTCTACTAACAGTTCTCTCTGAGAAAGACTATCAAGGGATGCTGAAACAGTCCAATAATATTTTATATGTACTAATTTTTACATTCGCAGATATATTAGTCCTGCCAATAAAGCGTTAAAATTAAATTTTAATTTTTGTTTAAGTGTACCTCCCATGCATATTGGTAATTAATGCATTTTCTCGTCTAATGCGTTGTGTGGGGGGTTACTATATTAGTTGTTAAACTTAAGTATTGTGTGTGTAGAAGTAATAATGGATGGATATAAAACGAATATAGAAGACAAATTTAACGAAGTTATAATAAAGCTGAGTAATATATTAGTTTCATAGCACACAGATACACCCAACTTATAAAATGTCCCTTCTTTGAAAATTTCGTACAAAATACCAAATCTTAGGTAAAGTACCTAGACGTAGTTGTTACTAGATTAAAATGGGTAATAATTAATATGTACTTAGATATTTTTACGAAACGAGTGTGATATTAGAAAGTGATTTGAATGAAATTATTATTTCGCATGAAACAGTAGCTTTGTAATATAAAAGTCTTAAACAACCACACATAACATAACCTTGAGCTCAAAATGTTGTTCTCGAGGTAAGAGGTAACATGTGCTTTGTGAGTTCCGTTCTAACTTTTCACTCGTGCGTATCGACTGGCATAAGAATCAGCTTCTTTACAAAAAGTACAGAGGTGTTTGATACAAATATGGTAATAAAAGTATGACATTCGTTCAGTTTATGAGACAGAGCTTATTACTGATATCATTCTCTCTTGATGTCATAATAATATACACCTGCCACGAGCTTCTACTCAAAATTGAAATGATTATTTGAAAATAAAAGCAATTGTTTATGTTGTATAATAGTTATGGTATTGAATAGACATTTTTGTGAAAAACTAAAAATAAACTTCTGAAAATCTATAATGGTTTTGCGTTGCATTTTTTTATAGATGCTTTTTCATAGATCATTGTTATCGTATCATGGGACTATCTTATTGCTAAAATTGTTGTTATAATTACCATATAAATATTGTATAATTCAATGCTTTGAAAAAGAGATATAACTAAACAAGATAATATACACTAACAACTAAAATTTAATGAACTATCAATCACTTTTGCCGTAGCGATTATAAGTTTTAATTACTACTTACTAAGTAGGCAAATCTTTTTCATTTAGTCGTATTTTAAGAGTAAAAAACTGTTATGTTAATATGACTGCCTCTAGGAATGCATCAATCAAGTCAAGTATAAATAACTCAAAAACTACCAGGTCGCAGTAATTTATAGTATTTTCATTTACGACATGACTCTCCTCTCATTCAGACAGGACCGTTCCATGTTTTGACAGTCTATTAAAAGGTTTGAAATTATTATTCCAGGTGTGAGTTTAGCGTTCCTTTAATCCTGGAAAAAGCTTTAAAATTGCCTTACATTTGTAGCTTGGCAGGTGCGACAGGTAGCTACATAAACGTTGGTACCTTTATGACGTCACGAAACGTGGCCGAACGATAAAACATGTTAAGGATGAATTGTGACGTGGTACATTTCAATATACCTCAATACATGTATGTACTTGTTTTTGCCATTTAAAAAAAAAAGCTTATTAAACTGTATTATATATAATTTAAAATATTAGGTTTCTTAGAAAATATATTGTTTAGTAATAAATTTTGAAATTAGAAATTTCCACTTTTTGCAGAGACGAGTTAATAATTACAAACATTTTTTTTTTGTGGGAACGAAAGTGATTGCATAATGTACGTGTTGTGGCGTTTACGTGTTTTATTAAAATAATTGAACGTAATAACGAAACGTTAAAAATAATAATTTAAGCTGTATATTTAAAGCTTTTACGTGTTTTCTTAAAAATATCTGAACACAAAAAATAATGAATTTAAGTTGCGATTTTCTCTTTGCGGTGCTCGATTCTTTCCATGTCTAGGAATGCAAAATTACAATGGCACATTTATTTGCTTAAAATATCTGCCACAAACTATGCCATTATGTATTCTTGACATTATGTATGTACATAGTCAGTATACATTTTCAAAAACTGAAAATGATTTAAGCGTACATTGCGATGTTATGAAATTATCTACAAA